TCTAGTGCACGACCTGCTCTAGTGAACGACCTGCTCTAGTGCACGACCTGCTCTAGTGCACAGCCTGCTTTAGTGCACGACCTGCTCTAGTGCACAACCTGCTCTAGTGCACGACCTGCTCTAGTGAACGACCTGCTCCAGTGAACGACCTGCTCTAGTGCACGACCTGCTCTAGTGCACGACCTGCTCTACCGATCTGCTCTAGTGCACGACCTGCTCTAGTGCACGACCTGCTCTAGTGCACGACCTGCTCTAGTGCACAACCTGCTCTAGTGAACGACCTGCTCTAGTGCACGACCTGCTCTAGTGCACGACCTGCTCTAGTGCACGACCTGCTCTAGTGAACGACCTGCTCTAGTGCACGACCTGCTCTAGTGCACGACCTGCTCTAGTGCACGACCTGCTCTAGTGCACAACCTGCTCTAGTGAACGACCTGCTCTAGTGAACGACCTGCTCTAGTGCACAACCTGCTCTAGTGCACGACCTGCTCTGAGTACCGATCTGCTCTAGTGCACGACCTGCTCTAGTGCACGCTCTGCTATAGTGCACGACCTGCTTTAGTGCACGATCTGCTCTAGTGCACGACCTGCTCTAGTGCACGCTCTGCTCTAGTGCACGACCTGCTCTAGTGAACGACCTGCTCTAGTGCACGACCTGCTCTAGTGAACGACCTGCTCTAGTGCACGACCTGCTCTAGTGCACGACCTGCTCTAGTGCACGACCTGCTCTAGTGAACGACCTGCTCTAGTGCACGACCTGCTCTAGTGCACGACCTGCTCTAGTGCACGACCTGCTCTAGTGAACGACCTGCTCTAGTGCACACTCTGCTCTAGTGCACGACCTGCTCTAGTGCACGACCTGCTCTAGTGCACGACCTGCTCTAGTGCACGACCTGCTCTGCCAACCTGCTCTGACGAGCCATGGCTGATCGTGTTGAGAGAGTCATGCTTCCAGTTCAACAGATCCACAACTATAAGACTTTCCAGTTGAACATAATTATCTTCACTCCAAGAAACCACAGTGAAAATAACTATGTTGAATAGAAAAAACAGTTTTTCTACTAATGTATAGAAGAAGGGAGGTTCTTTAATGTAAAGTTCTAGTTTCAAGAAACAATGTTGTGAAAACATTTGTTTTGTTTGGGAAGTAACGTGAGAACACGTTCCTCAAAGCATCTTGCAAAATATAGCAATTATATTAGTGTTAGGTTTATATTGGTTAAGAAGGAAGTTGACATATTAAGTCTCTAAAGTTCATTGTATTGTTATAGCCATTTGCTAAGAGATACGTTTCTTTGACCCTTGCCAACATTTTCAAAGGCAGTGTAGAAGTAGATATATACAACATAGGACATAATCTTACTAATACGAAGATATTAATCATAAATATTCATACACCGCCTCAGTAACACTGACAGGAAAAACGAGTAGCACTTGGTGGGTCAGCCAGAGGCCTGAGGCCCGCGCAAGCATATCCCTGCAAAACCAAACAAATATGGGAACTCATAACCTGGGAAAAGGAAACAATGAGCATTCAGAGCAAATCTTGCTATTTGACTCTGATTTTCTGAATAATTGTTGTAACAAATCAAGCACCTCTTTCATCTCCTCGGGGGCTGGACACGTGGTAAAGATACAAAAGACATTTCTCCTCAGAACCGCGACATTAAGGCGTTGGAAGAAGAAACTTGTCGATCTATGGTATTTTCTTTCCCTAGTCTGTGTGTGCATTTACCTAGTTGTATTTACCTAGTTGTACTTACGGGAGTTGAGCACTGAATCTTTCGGCCCGCCTCTCAACTGTCAATCAATCAACTGTTAGAAACTACTTTTTTGTCCACACACACACACACACTTACAGGGGTTGGCTGAGTGAGTGGACAGCGCTCGAGACTCGTGGACCTAGGGACCAGGATTCGATCCCGGCAGCCGGTGGAAAAACAAATGGGCAGAGTTTCCTTCACCCTGATGCGCCTTTTACAAGCAGTAAATAGGTACCTGGGAGTTAGACAGCTGCTACGGGCTGCTTCCTGAGTGTGAGTGTGTGAAAAAAATATTGTTAGTTGGTAGTTAGTAACAGTTGATTGATTGACAGTTGAGAAGCGGGCCGAAAGAGCAGAGTTCAATCCCCGCAAGCACAACTAGGTGAATACACACACACCCATTAAGCAGCCCGTAACAGCTGTCTAACTCCCAGGTACCTATTTACTGATAGGTTACAGGAGCATTAGGGTGAAAGAAACTCTGCCCATTTATTTTCCGCCATCGCCGGGGATCGAACTCATGTCCACAGGACTACGTATCCAGCGTGCTGTCAACCCAGCCACCAGGCGGCCTCGTGTGTGTGCGTGTGCTTATTTCCTTATTAAACATTTTACAGGACAGAATACGTCACAGGATCATAGGAAGGGGAGCAGAACTCCCTTTGCGCCAGAATAATCACCAGCCTCCCACAAGGTGGGATAAACTGAGAGCATCTTGCGCCTGAATGAGGCCGGATCACCCCGCTAATAACACCAGCAATTAAGCCGATTAAGGAGAGCTTCGCCAAGTACCCGGGGAGCAGCCGGAGAAATGTGTGCTCCTTAGAAACACCGAACGAGGACGCGTCTCGCTCCAAACACTCTCAGAAGGAAACCGGAAACTAAATCATTGTAAATCAGCAAATCGCGTAGAATCCCTCTATCGAGTTTTGTCAGTAGTATACTGCTTCAAGCCGGAGCATAGATGGAAAGGATTGAGCAGTGCAGATGAAGAGTCACAATAACGTGGCTGAAAAATGTTGATCAAACAACACACTAGAAAATGAAGAGACGACAACGTTTCATCATTTTTTTCTTTTGTTAATGGTCCAGAACGTCCGTCCTCGACCATTATCAAGTCGATTGTGATGAAACTAAGGAAGCAAAGGCAATAAATAGGCAAGAAAGAGAGGTGAGGAGATGGAAATCTTAGAGGAAGAAAAGAGCAAGACAAAAGGTTCGGAAGGTAAGGTGTAATAAAGGGTGTAATAATAGGAATAAGAAAGGGATCGTTAGAGAAAACAAGAGAAAGAGAAAGAAAGATAAAAGGAAGGGCAGGCTTATGTTAGGTCACGTTTGTTAGAATGACTAAGAAATGGTTGATGTTTTTCCAGAATCTGAATTAGCACATATATTCTTAACAACTTTTACAAATCGTTAATTTCTGGCTGGGCTTCGCAGGGGATAGAACAGTGTGAACCAATGTAGATTTTGTTAGACATTGATCATATATATATTTTACTTTGATTTGTGGTATTCGAAATGCTCTACCAATAAATAAGTAATGACAGCAGTACTAGTAATAACTCTGCTATATTTAAGTATTATGCTGTAATTAAGTAACAGCAGAATAGTAACGGCATAAGACACAGTAATGACAATAATAATTGGGAGTAAATCAGTAGCAGTCGTGAGGCAGATTCAAACATATGCTCTGGTTTCTTCCAAGCACACGCCTTAGACCATTACACCAAGATATGGTCTAAGACATTTGCTTGGGAGTACCCAGAGTTGCGTGGTGACCACCGGCCGGGTCGGACGTTCCTGAGGTCTCTCTGCTCCTGGCTCGTGTTTATGTTGGGTGATTGC